CGCGCAAAAGAACGTTGATAGATAATTATCCACATCGTTTGTATATAGAATAAATGGAAGAGGACCCAAAATACTCCCTTGAGGAATTCCAATATCAACCGGCAGTTCTTTAGATCCGACACCAAAAAAGTCTACAAATTGTTTTCGGTTGGCTAAATACGAATTTAAAAGTTTATTGCACATGCCTTGCAGGCCATAATATTCTATTTTTTGTAATAGAATGCCATGGTCTACACAGTAAAAAGCTTTTGAGAGATCTATAAATAAAGCAATAAGTTTGTGTCCTCGGTCTAGATTATTATACACAAAATCTAAATAAAATATTTTTGACTGCCGATATTTTCTCTAAAACCATGTTGGTTTAAGGAAAATATATGTCTAGTCTCTATGAATTCTATTATTCGTTTAGCTAATAATGTTTCAAATATTTTAGAGAACACTGATATAAAACTGATATAGGACAATAGTTGGAAACAATACGTAAAAGTGGCAATACTGCGGTATCGTCTTCGCTTTTACTGGCAGCTTATGTTTGGCGCCAGACCTGGTCGGATGACGTCAATTTTTTTTATTTTTTTCGGGGCTCAAAACTTCCGGAAAAAATTCTGTGAGTTCATATTTATAAATACTATCGATTAAGCAAATTTAAAAAAATATGGAAAATTCCCATTGTGGTATATGACTCTTAAAGTATTATATAAACTTTAGACGTGTTCGTTTCAAACCCTACATTACCTGTAACATTATAAGAAGTCCTTGAAATTTTCTTAGAATTAATATCTAACTGATTTTAATATTTTTAACTTTTTTTCCTTCAGTAATCCGAGTAAATAATAAAAATACAGTAAATCACTAACTCTAAGTTAATAGATGGTTATTTGAAGGACCTAGAAATAAGGTCACAATTGCTGTACTAATAATGCCCAGTTTTGCCTGAGCGTCTCTGCGTAGACATAAATTATCGCCAGTATCGTATTTGTGGTCAGTGTGACAAATTGCTAGCTCTTACTTTAAGTGCCGTAACCATAATAATAATTCACTACAGCCACGATGAACAAAATGATCGTGTATTAGAATACTTAAATGTGATATTTCTAAGAAATGGAAATGAGAAGGAAACTAAGGACCTTGCAATTTTTCTGAAATCACAATTTTTCGCCCCATATATGAAGAAGTGGCAAGAGTGTTAACAAAAAATTAATAAATCGTCGATTTAGAGTCCTCCATACGAGAAAATTTTCCAAAATAAAAAATAATGACGATCATTTAAAAGCTTATTGCTTAGTTCGGACCCATATTTTAGTTCTTTCCATCGAAGTGATGAAAAAAAAACATGTGAAGGGCCCTATAGTATTAGACTTGCTGACAATCCCTGAAAGATCAGAGGAAGAAATAAAAGAAGACAACGAAGAATCAGATGCTGACGAAGAAATTTGGTCAGATGACTCTGATTGACATTGTTTTCTAATCTGTTGTCACACTTTTTTTTCATTTAGCATACACCTCTAGCAATTCATGTTTTATGGATGCCAACCTAACCCTGCTTTAACAGTGCATGAATCTTAACCTGCAAATACAAAAAGTAACCTCGTAACTAGTTTCTACGCCCTCAAAAACTTAAAATTTTATTTATTCGCATAAATCTTGTCTTCAGTTTTATTACAGATCTTCCCTTTTCCAAAAGGTAATTTTTTAATCCTTCACTGGACCGTGTAAATCAAATTTTAAATATGATTTAACATAAATTATACATATTTGCACAAATTACTTTTTTCACGTAATACTTTTTTTAAGTGTGAAATATTTACGGCATTTTAAAATTAACCTAAAAATCCAATTCTACAACCCAAAACACGCAGGCGTACCAATTTTTACCCTTAGTGTTCATTATGACGCTACGACTTTCGATCACTTTTTTTCGGATTTTGGACCATTTATGCGACGTTCGTGCGTTTTTCATCAATCGACTGATGATTTGGAAGGGACAATTAAAACAATGGCCCGGTCTCATCAGATCTGACCAATGACCATCAGTCATTTGTGAAACAGCTCTTAGGAAGCATTTCCCGACACTACTTCATTCGACATTTTTTGATCAAAGTTGACTTTCCCATCCGTGATTGTCGTATGGCTGTTTATTTTTGGGACACCCTGTAATTTCTGTATAAGGAGACTGTTTCTGAGAAATTCATAGGAATGGTGAAACAGCGCGCGTTAAGAAATACTATACAGACTTGCAGGAATGGATTCCTGATTTAGACTTCAAATTTTTACGAGTACAAATAAACATGTTTTTACATTATATTGTTATACACAAATAATAATTTTATACCAATTCTATGTGTGTGTAAGTTTAAACAATAGGTACCATACAATAAGTTAAAAATGTTTTTACATTTATTTACAATATTAAATACAGTGTCTTATGAGCCTAATGGTCATTTCAATAAAAAAATATATAAAATCACAATTTTCAAAATACTTGGTTCCTCCCCTACTTTCTAAACTCATTTCAAAATGTTTCAAAACTGTAATTAATATGCAGATTTTTGCAACATAATCCATGAAAAAGGCAATTTATTTAAAAAGTACAGAGTGCGATTATTATAAGTCGTTTCTTAAATCTATAAGATATTTAATTTTATTAAGGCTTTCATTTGAAACACAATGGCAATATATAATATTAATATATCAGTTCTTATATATTTAATATATATATACATATATAAAAGCATACAAACCTCTAATACATCGGCGAATTAGAGGGTAATAGATGAAACTTTCACAACAATAAAATTCAGCACAAAAAAATTGTAAATACAGGTTGAGCCCTTTATGAAAAATTTATATAAATATCCCCTCTATATCAACATCAACTGAAAACAGTTTTGAAACATTCGCTTATCGGATGGCAAGTTTATAAAAAAGTACATATCACTTTACTTTTGATATTAAAGAATGCTTTTAATAAAAAAGTAAATAATACAAAAATATCACGTATATCAATAGGTTTGTTCCAACAGTAGTCTCGGACTAGTTTCAAACCGTTAGAAATATTCGCCCAGTTAAGTATTAATGTAATTAACAGTGAGCTTGGCGTATTATATGAGACGGGTGAGTATTTTTGACGGTTTCAAACTGGTCCTAACTGCTGCTGAAACAAATCTAATATTTCGAGCTGCATTTCTCGAGACTGCAAAGGTCAGGCCAAAAATAAAAAAAATATCCATGGTAAGTTAAAAGTCTGTGTCTACTACGAATGCTCCGACGTGATCACATTTTTTTTTCTGCACTATTAAAAAATTGTAAGTATATTGTATTGTCTTTAATAATTTAAATTATATTCCGCATTAAAATGAAAACCGACAGAATTTATTGTAGAGTACCTAATCCAGGGTCAGGAAACTAGTCCGGAATCCAGGACCGGTAGCAATGAATAATAAGACATACCGCTTGACATAATGTATTATTCAGAATGACTGAAGTCTGGCATCGCATTAGCATACATGGTCACAATTAATATTCGTTCTGCAGTCGTGGCTGTTAAATTTGAACGATTTGGTCTGTACATATTTCTATACAAGGAAACTGAACGTTCCACATCTACCGAGGTTAATGGTGCAAATTCTAAATAGTTCACTTTCAAACCGCGCAGATAATTTTCACGAATTTTATACATTGTTTTGTATCCCAGATTCCTGCGTATAACATTTTTTAGGTTATTGTTTATAGACCAACATTTGCTGTCTGATAGAGAAAGCTTTTTGAACACTCAAAATTCTTAGTATAACATTAATAACTTATTACACCGAAAGTCAGTTGTTTCATCCATTGTCACCCACAAAAGTGTATTTCGTACGTCCTCTATAATATTGTCAAAACAATTTCATACACACTTGATAGACATGTTTTACGCAATGTATGGCTACTGTGTAAAGGAAAACTACATGCACAGAACATAACACACAAATCACAAGAAAATTCCTCTCTTGTAACTGTACCGGCAATATGTAACGTCGATTGCATGGAGTACAGAGATGTGAACTATCTCTGTTGTTAAGTCATCATGTCTTCAATTATTTTTTGTAGTTTATGCACAAAGAGTAATAACTGCGCCATTGCTTACAGCGTTCTATGCAATAAACAAACCAAACACCACCACGGAAAATGGAAATTATTTCCTACCCTGCGAATTACTAATGAAATAATTTAATTTTATGTGAACAAAGTTTCCAGTGTGGTGTAAATAGGATATCACTGACCCGGGATGTCCTTACAAAATATGTGTTACGTCACTGGATAATTTTCTTTCGGTTTCGTTTAAAGAGACCATTTTTACGACCCCAACTACACTTTCGGTTTACTGAAAGCGGCAAAAACTTTGTTACTTTAAATGGTATTTTTGTTTATGAGAGTTTGAAATTCTCTAGATTTTGTTTGTTTGTCGATAAGACAAACAAGTGTGACTGGTAAATAAAGATATAAATGGAGGAAGTTATTATTATTATTATTAGAAGGTAGTTATGCTTAAGAAAATGATATTTTTATAACCGAAATACAAAAACTATATTTAAACAATGTTATACAAAAATAAACTAAGTAAGTATTGTACTTCACACAAAGAAAGAACATATATAATTTCCTTGGTTATAATAAATACTAACAAAAAATGTAATTTTAAAACTTATCAACTTCTTTTTCACACAGTGTATACAGGGTATTTCTAAGTTAAATGTACATACGTTAACTGTGGATAGAGGCACTTTGATGGTTTAAAATTACCCAGAATTAATGTAAGGAGTCCATCATCATTTGTTACTTAGATACAGAATATTTTATTGATTTTGGCCAAATCTGTCTTTAACTTTTTTTGATTAAAACACTATAGGTAATACAACCCCCTGAAGGTACTCAATGTACCTTGTCTGGGAGACATTTAGAGACAATAGACATACACCCAATGTCCGAGTACGCTAATAATATCTGATTTAGAAAAATCCTAGCTCCTCGACCCGGGATCGAATCCGGGATTCTAGGGTGACAGGCAAGTGTCCTCACCACTCGACCACGAAGCCTCACATTCACATAACTTTTGAACCACTCTGTATAATTTGGTCATACTTGATATATATATTTCATTTTTTTTTCTACTACTATTTTTCCTAAAATCTGAATATTTGGCGAATTTAAGAATTGAAAATATTTTTAAACAAAATGAGTCTTTTAGTATTTTTCAACAATTTTCATTTATGTTAAAAACAGGTCTGTTTTTAGAAAATGATGAAAGTGTGGGAACTATAATAAGTATGCTGTTTTGGCACATTTTTTTATGATCTTTTCAAACCTCTAAACATACTTTCAAAATTTTGCTATACAGAGTTATTTTTTTAAGAAATAGAAAACAGCACATATTTTTAAATTTGGACCTGGATTTTGATTTTGGTATTTATGGAGTTTTGTCAAGTAAAATAAGAAAAATATACGTAACAAGTATGAACCGATTACACAAGGTGGTTCAAAAATTATGACCAAAGAAAAATTTGTCCAAAATTAATAAAACATTCTGTATATCAGCAACGAATGAGCGATGAAATCATTAATGATGGATAATTTTACACTGATGATGAAAAACGCGGACACACAACCACTCCTTTCGACTTTTTTAGGGTCGAAGCCGGGATATAAACCCGTAGTCAATAAACCAGCTACGCGTTATTTAACGCTCTAGCACACTGCGCAATCTCGCTCGGTAGTGGTAAAAAGGCTTAATACTGATTTTTAGTAATGATAAACATTTTCTTTCAAATCGCTGAAGAAAAACTACAAGGTGCCATTTATATTAATTAAATTAAGAGTGCATTTTTTTGGAGTAAAATCAAAATATTAATTTTTTAAATATTTTTAAAAATGTCACAGAAAATTGACTGGAATAGATGTGCTTTTACGTCAGAAATTTAGCTTATTGTTTACGAATATTTTCAAAGCTTGTCAAATTTTTTTTTCACTCAATTATTATTATTAATAATAATAAACCGTTTAGAAGGGGGTTATATTTAGAAAAATGTGGACGTACATGTTAAACCATTCCCACCAACATTGTCAATGCCGGTGGCGGGATTTGAACCCGCAGCTACGATGGATAGATTTATAATCACGTTTGCCATTGCACGCTTTCGTCAACTATGCCACTGAGCCGGTTATTCCAAGATATCCATTCAATAAACAATTGCATGTAGCTCGACCATTCATTAATCGATTTGAGTTTCTCTAAAATCATATGTCGATAATTCCATTGGCCGACACAATTTTTGTAACACAGTTCACACTACTGTTTTTATATTGTTAATAACTCCCTATTAACTGAAAAAATATCCAACAAATAATATACGTACTATTTTTTGTGTGAACGCAATAGACCCTATTATATTGTTAGGTAATAAATTTTATGATGGGTTGACAATTTTAGAAGGGCAAATTAAAGTAAGGTGGGACATTTTCAGTATCAATCTTGTTTTGACCTTCCAAGTGCCAAATTGTGTATGTTAGAAAGTGTTTTCGTTTGTCTACATAACTCTATTACGATAAAAATTTCCAGTCAAACGCGCCGAAGTTGCAAAACCTCACCTGATAAGTTTTGTTACATTTGTGGAGAATTCCTTGTGAAGTCGCAAACGAGGTCATTGTCTAAAAATGTCAAAAACGCGTATTTTCTATATTTTGGAGTTTTAGTCGGAGATCAAGACAAGCAATGGGCTCCCCACGTTTGTTGTGTAAATTGTGTTTGTTGTGTATTAGTGCAGTGGGTGAAAGGGGAAAGAAAAAAGCATGCCCTTTGCGGTGCCAACGGTAGGGCGAGAACCCACCAATCATTTCGATGATTGCTATTTTTGTGAAACAAGAACTGAGGGATATTCCAAAAAAGAAAAACAAAAAATCAAATATACGAATTTGCCATCAGCCCTAAGACCTGTTCCTCGCAATGCATCAAACTTACCAGTGCCAACTGCGCCTTTAGTTTGGCAAAATATTGTTTTGGGAGGTAATGTAAATAGAAACGACTCTTCAGACAGCCCAGACCAGTGTGCCGACCGTTTGTATATTCCAGAAAGTTTTAGTGACCCTCACTTAATTGCTCAAAATAAATTGATTGATTTGATATGTGACTTGGGGCTGTCAAACTAACAAGCAGAACTTCTTGGTTGCCGACTTAAGGAGTAGAACTTACTGGATAAGAAGCAAAGATTGCGACTTTTAGAAAAACAAATGCAACAAACTCCGCATTTTATAATACGGAAAATTCACTATGCGCGTGTATTGATGATAGTTTAATGCAGGAACTTAATATCGAACATTCCAAATCTGAGTGGCGCTTATGAGCTTGGAACTCATTTGTTAATTCGTACCAAACGCTTGGTTGCCGTATATCTTTAAAAAATCACTTTCTGCATTCTCATTTAAATATTTTTCCTGAAAATTTGGGTGCAGTAAGCAACGAGCAATGAGAAAGATATCATCAAGATATCAGGACAATGGAAATTCGTTATCAAGGACGATAGGATCCAGCCATGATGGGTGATTACTGTTGGTTCTTAAAGCGAGACGATTTGACCCCCATAAAAGAAACAAAATGAACTGAGCATTCAAAAATTATTCTCTATCTTTGTAGATATATCTATGTAAGTTTAATATATCTCATATGCATCATTAATATATAGCAATAAATAGATTAGTAAAATTAACAATGTTATTCCTGCCCATAATGTTTTATTAATGTAACAAGAAAACATTACGTGTTACGACTTTTTGCTTGTCGCTTCTATAATCAGCAGGCTTTATTCCAGTGGGATATGCTGTTCAGGCACATGTTACAAAAAAAATTTTTTTTTGTTCGCCAGTGTTCTTCGCCCTACGGGTCTGGTCTGATCCGGTCATATTTAAAATAAAAAAGTTAATGCCACTCTGGTTAAATCAGAAATGCAGGTGTTATGGTTACAGTTTCAAAAATAGCAGCTCTCTCTATCATTAAATATACGTAAATTTGAGGCTATACATGCCACATTAGTCACCCTATAAAAGGAAACTATCAATGATATATGAGATACATAATTTAAACTGCTTTTGAATACGGTAGGAGAAAAGGCGTTATTGAAAAAAATATATATAAATTGGATCGCAGCGATTAGCGATAACTTCAAACCTACCATGGCATTTTTCGATCTCGCAATTTTGCAATTTTTAAGTAATATTATGTGAACAAATATTAAAACAAAACCAGAAAATCTGCTTATAATAAATGAGCATAAACTATGTAACTATGTCTACATAATTACAAATTAACAAACTATCAAAAACAAACTGTTTTTATTTTAAAATGGTACTATGTTTTATCAAACTTGCCATCCATTTTTTACATAAATAATTAAAAATTATATGACTAGCTATATAACCAAATATTATCTCTCTGTTAAAGCAACACCATGTTTGTAAACCACTAAATCTTTATTTTCAAAGTCAAAATAGGCTGTCAGATGAAACGCCATGTTGGAGAGAACGACAATATATTCAGATAAAGCAAACAATGTATACACTAAAATAAAAACATACCTGGGTTAGTTCATTCAGTTTTCACATACCTTGATCAAATTATCAACAATCATATACAGGGTGTTTCAAAAACATTCGCCGAATTTTTAACAATGTTTCTTGGCGAAAAATAAGTCAAATCTTCATACACACTTCACCGGCTTCGTTTAAAATTTAGCGTATATTTTTGAAACACCCTATATACAATTAAACCTGTTATAATTTTATACGGGATTCAAAATAAACAAAATAGTACAAATTTTATAAGTGAAAAATAATGTTATCGATTTATTATATCATAAAAAGTGCAAGGTACAAATTTTATTCCTACATATATTTTTTAATGCGGTTCATTAGAAATATCAATTTAAATATTTACTTTATAGTTTCCTTTCTTATTATGATTTCATATTAGGTACCTATTTGCAAATAATGGTACAGAGTGATCATGTTTAATGTCCACCCCTCTTAACTTCTCAATTTTTAGTGCTAAGAAAATTTTAAAAATATATCCATGTACTATTTGTGAAATACATTTTGTTCACGTACAAAATCGCTATATAAACATATTTTTACATTGGAGAATTATTTCTCCAATGTAAAAATATGTTTATAGAAGTAGACTTTTTTAAAGCGAATGCTTTGTATATAACTCCATTTTTGATTTCTTCGGATTAAGCTGGCTTCAGAAAACGTGTCGCTCGCAACAGCTAATCAACCAATAGTAATCAAGCTTCCTGTACTTCCCTAGCTCTCACCTATTGTTCCAGCGACAGTTAGCGCTGTCGCGTGTCGTTGGATTTTTCCAACTACTAGGCAGTGTCGCCAGAGACAACCGGGTCGCTGGAGATTTAAAGTTATGTGATGGTGTTTGTTAAATATAAAATAGGCAACAATAATCAAAGACGAAGAGTCACTTTGCAGCACTCTGGCGGTGCAGAATTTACGGTATTTTTAAGGAATTATGACATACAAAGATGTAATGATGGTAAGTAGAATTATTCCAATGACTTCAATTCTGAAGTCATTGAATTATTCCTAATTTTTTTCCTAATTAGAATATCTAAACTGCTTACAATTCAACAATAAATTAGGTTAAACTTTTGCATTGACCTGCATTTTCCGCTGTCGTTTGTCATTTCTTACCCGCCACTTTCTTCCGTCCGTTCCATAACGGGTGACAGATGGAGGGGATGTGTCGCCGCGACACGTTTCAGTTCCCTGAAGCCGGCTTTATTCTGCACACATATTAGGGTGGGGCAATAGTTCGTCCAACTTCGATATTTCGAGTTCTATGCTAGTTAAAAACTTGATTTAAAAACATAAGTAAACTAGACAAAAAGTCTATAACCGGAAATCGTTTTCGATTATACAGGGTGAGCTAAGATGATTCTACAGGGTCAAGTAACATTTTTTTAAATGAAAAGCCATATATATCAAAACATTTTTTGAAAGCTCTTTGTGGCCTCCTTTCACTCCTGTATTATTATTA